CCGGAAGTTGGCCCCAGTCGCCGGAAGGCTCCTGTCCCAAGAAACAACTCGAAGCGACCCCATCCTCGCCGGCCAGCGTCGTTCCCCAGGACGCGACACCCTTGGGCGCGGCCCTGGCGCGTGCGCAGGGACCTGCCGCCCCTCCCTCGCGGCTTCCGAGCGCCCCACGTGCCCGGGCGCGGGGACAGTCCTGCAACCCACGCTTGGCCGGCCACGCGACGGGATCGCCGCCCTTCAAGCTCCTGCTGTGGAAGAGCGTCCGGCGGTGGGGGCCTTCGCCAGGGTGTGTTCGTTTTCTTTAAAAAGCAGAATCGGAGGCCGGGCGTGGCGGCTCACGCCTGTGATCCCAGCACTTTGGGAGGCCAAGGAGGGAGGATTGCCGGAGCCCAGGGGTTCCAGACCAACCTGGGCAACATGGCGAGACCTCGTCGCTACAATAAATCACAAAATTAGCTGGGCGGGGTGGCACGCACCTGTAGTTCCAGCTACTTGTAAGGCTGAGGTGGAAGGATTGCCTGAGTCCAGCAGGTTGAGGTTGCGGTGGCAGTGAGCGTGCCACTGCACTCCAGGCTGGGCAACAGAGTGAGACTCCGACTCAAAAAAAAAAAAAAAAATCCAACCAGAATTGGAAACTTTATAGTGTGATCCTGACTTCCCCTGGGGGAAAAAGGGCATATGGGTGAGCCTGGGGAAAAGATCGAATTATAAGCAACGTTTTTACAGGAATTATCTCTAGGTGGTAGAGCTCTGCGTGACATTCATTGTCTATGTGTTTTTTGTTTTTTCCATACTGCACTGCCTAAAATGATCATAAGTTACTTTTATAATCAGAAATTGTTCTTTACGTTTTAAAAAGATAAATGCTGTCGCCTCGGGAGCTCAGAGAGCTGTGCTGGAGGAGAAGGGCTAGCAAGCAAATGACTGCAATGAACTATGCAGGGTGGGAGTGAGGATGGGGAATAGAGAGGGGTCCCAGGAGGAAGTCCCTGGGTGGGAGGCTGCAGGGTGAGGAGGCAGCTAGGAAAGACACCAGGTCCCTCGGGGCCCCAGGGACAGCCAGCTTGTCTGCCATTGGAAATGAGTTCAAGGAGGGAGGAAGGGCAAGCACCGCAGCGAAAGGCCTGGAGGCCGGAGGGAGCATGCCTGAGGACAGATGGGGGACAGGCCCCGGGGGAGGCTGGCTTCTAGTGTGGTGGGCCGGCAAGCCTGGAGGCCAAGTGAGGTGTGAGCCCTGCATCTGGTCCCCTCACATCTGCTCTCTCCTTTATCCGCGCACCCCCCACAAGTGCTGGCAGGAGCCCTGGTGTCTGAGAAGCTGGATGGAAAGCCGGGGCTGGACTCTCAGATCCCCACACTCTGCAGCCTCGCTCTGTGACCTTGGGCAGCTCAATTCCATGAGCCTCAGTGTCCTCCTGTAAAATGGAGACCCTGGTTTCTCCAGCATGTATTGATATTCATTCTAGAAAGCCCAGTACCGTGTTTAAATGCTGCTCAGAAAACATTTGCTCAACTCAAGGTAGGTGAAAAGAGATTTGTTTTATTTTATTTTTTCTTTTTTGAGTCGGAGTTTCACTATGTCGCCCAGACTGGAGTGCAGTGGCCGCTCCCGGCCACCGCAGCCTCGACCTGCTGGACTCTGGCGATCCTTCCGCC